GGTCATAGACGTCGTAGACGGTTCGTTTGTGTCGCTCGACGGCGAAGAGGATGGCGGTGTCTCTGTTGTTGGAGGTGTAGAAGACGCAGGTGTTGGGGGTGGGAGTGGTGGATTGGAAACATTGTTGGATAAGGGTTAAGGCGGTGGGACTGGACAAGTCGAAGGTGAGATTGTTGAATCGTGGATGCGTTGGGGGTAGTCGTGGTGTGAGGGTCGGTAGTGGTAGTGGTGGTGTGTGGGCTGTTTGAAGCAGCGTCGTTAGTGTCAATAGGAATGCAGTGATGGGTAACCACGTGGTTGTTGGAAGTAAAATGGGTTTCATGGTGGTTCTCTGGGCAGTTCGAACTTCGTCATGGAGCTCATGGAGCTACTACCATATGTTGAGACGCGATGGCCAAGGTTCAAGTCTACTCCGCGGTGGCACCTGCAGTCTTTCATACTGTATGTATGTGCATCGAGCATCTGGTTGCAAATGCTATACTTCGTATCTCGAATTTCTGAACTCCTGGGTCATGGTCGTCCACCCCCAACCTTGGAACATCGGGCAATATCGTTCTTGTTCCAGGCCTGGCCTCTTGCAGATCGTGGCGACTAGGACCCGATACAATTATCTCCTGCGCCAAAGTGGTGAGCAAGTCCTCGACCGACAGGATGTAAGTGGCCATTGCAAGCATAGCGGTGGCAATTTTATACGTACTTCGTGCCCACTGTCCGGAACGGACAATTATCGGTACACCAGCCTCTAGGTGATGTCTTCCGCGTAGTGTAGCAATAATGATGAGAAGGTAGGACTGGTGCATGACCTGATGTACGGCGGTAGCGCAGACCTTGGCTATCACTACCACATACTCACCAAGGGACGAGACTCAGGACTGAGAAGACAATCCTCTGCAGCCCATATTAGTCTTCCAATATCCTGTCTATGTAAGGCGGAATCGTGCTTTCCTGGATACTACAGCACGTCTACATTCTCCTTCTATCAACAGGTGACCGTGACTTCAACTCATCGAAGCAACCACATCGAGCCCACCATTTCTCGAAAAGTACAGATGATCCGCTAGGGCCATGATACACCACCACGATCGTCCAGGCACCAAGCTGATCGCGCTTGGCACTCCCGCCCTGCGACTCGCCTGCTTGATTTGAACCCCTTACCCATCGATCCTCACCCCGCCCTCGAGTCAGCCAACAACAACTCCGCAAAAGGCCCAATAACAGCCTCATCCATACCCATAGCCAACAGCTTACTCATCCTCACGTTCAGCGGGCTCTTCTTATCAGTCAACACGCTCCATAGCTCATCTTTCTTGCCGAAGTCAATCTGGAAGTCCAGCACATAGGCCTTCATTCTCTCGGTCTGGTCAATTTTGCTAAGCTGCGCGTTCTTCCCGAGGTCAATCTTGATTTTTGCTTTGCTGTCCAATACTTGTGGTATCTTGACCACAAGGCTGGGAAGATTAGGGTATTTCTCGATGCTGACCTTGGCGTCGGCGGTGGTATCCTTGCCGTTCACGGTGACCTTGAGGTCTTTTGGTATCTCGGTAATGGCAACGAAACGGAAGGACCAGGTGCGACCGGTGACGTTTGCGGTGAGTGTGCCCTCATCTTGCTTGTACTGGATCAAGGCACCTCGCTCTTTGCCTTCGAGCTGTTTTTTCGATGCTTCGGAGTCGTCATCTGGAGCTTCGAGCACGCTGGCCTGGCCATTCTTGCCAACGCAGACGTAGACCTCAAACTCTTCAGGGTTCAGACAGCCGTTGACTGGTGCACTGGCAGCGTCCAGTACCACAATCGACCCTTCGTGCATGAGCACAGGATACTGGTGCAATTGTCTGTACATCACCACATCCCTATCCTCATCATAGACTGTGCCAGTGAAAACATCGACAAACCTGCCCAACGGTGGTAACCAAGCCTTGACTCCAGCCATGTTGCTCTGCTTGTTCCTCGGCTCCACGATTGGCGCGACCAACAGCTCAAACCCGAAGAAATACTCATTCTTATGCGCATATGCCTGTCCGTGCTCAGGGAAATGCCAATATATCGGCTGACATAGTGGTTCACCTTGGCTTGAGCCTGTAACATTCAGCGTGTAGAGATATGGCACCATTCGATGTCGAAGACGCATGTAGTCGGAAACAACTTTCTCGAATTCAGGTCTGTAGCACCACGGCTCCTTGCTGCCCCAAGGTGAATTCGAGCTATGCAACCGCATTATAGGACTGAATACACCGTATTGGACCCATCGTGCGACGAGTTCATCGTCGCGAGATCCCAGCATGTGACCACCGATGTCGTGGGACCACCAGCCATAGCCGATATTTGATGCAGTATTCGTAAATTCAGGCTGGAAGGCTAGGGATGCCCAAGTGACGATGGTGTCGCCTGAGAAGCCCACTGGATATCTGTGGCTGCCGGGTCCAGCATACCGAGAGAAGATCAATGGTCGTTTCTCCGGCGCGCCTGTTGCTGTCGAGGCTGTTGCGCCAGATTCGGGGGTTGCGTTGTCAAGGAAGTGGAAGTGATTTAGCATCCAAAGTGGATCGACATTAGGAATGCGAGAGAAATGACCTTGTTGCCAGTCGATCCACCAGAAGTCACAGGCTTGCTTCTCAAGGTTGCGGTGGAGAATGCTCAGGTAAGCTTCCATGAACTTCTTGTTAGTGGGATCGAATAGGATGGGGTCTTTCGAAGATGTGTCGTGGCCGATGTACTTGGCCATCTCCTCGTAAGATGATTCGTGGTGATGCACACCCATCGCTGGGTGGTCGTTGAGGGTAATTTTGAGGTTGCGACTGTGTAACTCTCGTCCAAAAGACTCTGGGTCAGGGAAGAGCTTGTCGTCCCAGGTGTAGCCGGTCCAGCCGGCGTGGGGAACTCGCTCATCGTCGACGAGATGCCAGTCCATGTCTATGACCGCGACTGAAAGTGGCAGATCCTTGCTGCGGAACTTGTCCATCAGCTGAATGTACTCGTCCTGCGTGTATGCGTAGTATCTGCTCCACCAGTTGCCTAATGCCCACCTCGGAAGTACTGGCTGGTCACCCGACAGCTTGTAGAGTGCTTTGACGGCGCCTCTGTAGTCATGGCCGTAGCCGAACAGGTATCCATCTATCCTGTCGCCAGGCATACGCCGACTGACCCAGCCGGAGCCGTCGAGGAGCATAGAATCACTATCATTGATTGCAGCGTAGCCTGAGCTAGAGTTGACACCATGACCCATATCGCAACGTCCATCCACTTCATCAAGAGTCCTTGCTGTACCACCAAAATTGCCTGATCGTGTCTCATCGTCGCCGAAGCGCCATTGTGCACCCCAATTCGTGATTTTAGCGTTGAAGCTGACCATCAGTCCTGATGGCGAGAACCTTTCCTTGTCATAGCTAAGGACGAAATGATCGGTGACGATCTTGAGCTCATTATCACCTTGGTCGTAGACTTGAAATTTTGCTACAGGAAATTGACGGTTGATGGCAAAGATAGATGCTCGGTCCTCGAATTTGCCGTCTGCTGCCCATTCATATCTGACAAGGCGGTCGGTCAGAATTGTGAAGCGGTAGTTCGCGCCCTGGACTATAGCAGCCTTGTCCGCTTGGGGCTTTGTCTCGAATTTGTAGTCTTTCATGCTAGATGTTCTCCTGGGAGCATTGGACGGGGCTTTTGTGTATTTGTGGCTCGTGGTGCTGATGCTTGGAAGAGCTATGCTGAATTGACTAACCTGGTATTTCTTGTAGCTGCAAAAGTGATCTTTGATTCCGCTGCAAAAGAATTTGACTCTGTGCATTGAAGCTGCACAGGGCTCGCTTCTTTGTTCGCTCAAATTGCTCCATAGCAGGAGCGGATCGACGTGCTTGCTTGGTTTGCGGTGAGCACGGGCTCCCGGGCAGGAACCGGTGGAATCTCAATATCATCGTGAAAGCACGTTCATTGGGTTAAGTAGGCAGGAACACTATCTGGCCGTCATATGCAGAAGCTAGAAATGCGTACTGATGTCAGTCCGAAAAAGAATGTTCACTGTCGGATATGTAACCCTAAAGAGAAACCGAGCTGGGAAGTACAACCGCACTACTACAACGTTCAGTTTGATCTGTGGGATTGTGAGGACTGCATAACTGCGTGAACATCGCACAGTGGGCAGGAGCGCTCAACGATGTCAACAACGTTCTCCGAAGCTACGCACTATGGCAATGGTAAATCAGGCCTGAACGTGAAAGATCGTAACCAAGTTGGTTGTGCTCGAAAAAAGCGAGGCTGAATGCTAAGTGCTGTCAGATTATCCCACAAGGAAGCAATAACGACCATTGTCTTAGAAACTGACAGGATCGCTGTGGCACCGTTGGAAAGTGGCTGGCAGTGAATGTGGCAAGAGGGTCCTGCTCGTTGGCGTGGATGCCACAGCGGCTGGCGCCATGATAACGCCTGTCCACATCCTAATTATCACTGTAGTAATGGCTCGGTCACGTACCTTTCACCTGGAGACGATTTAGTGTGAAAGTAGGCAATCTCGTTGGTCGCAGGCATAACAACAAGTTGGAAGGTGGTAGAACGTCTGGGCAGCTCGGTGGAAGTGCAAGGAGGTGGTTGAGAGGAACATCGCGAGGCTGCGTGTTCGTACCGGTTTGCGAGATTGTCCAAGAGGCTCTAGCGACTGAATCAGACTGAATGCGAAGGAGTGCAAGTCAACTCAGGTGCTCAGTAGTAGACCGATAGGTGTGAAATGCTTGATGGTGCTTGATGCTAGCATCATAGCTTTGGGCACTGCATTGTCTTTCGCCCTTGTGGTCAACGCCCAACGGAAGACGCAGGTCAGAATCGTATTCTGTCCGCATGACACTTCACATTCGACTCAGACCATGACTCACTGTCACTTGATTGCTCCTTTTGTCAATCACAACTCCGGCGCAAGGTCGCTTGCTCTTACCCGTAATCCTTCCTACCATATATGCATCAGACCACAAGAATCATCTATCTTTCAGGCATTTCTGGAAAAAGCATTCTACGTGGTCGTAGTGCAGTGGTCAGCACGTTTCGTTGTGGTAAGCCATGAATATCGCTCCGAAGAGACGCAAGTTCGAATCTTGCCGACCACACAACTCATTTTTTGCATATTTGCCATGAACAATTCATTTCGGAAGATCTTCATATATGGTTGTGTGCGATGCAAATTTGCAGAGGCTGGGCTCGGTGAAGGTGGGGTCTCGTTCGTTTGATGGCCAGCTGCAGATTTCAGTCGCGCCTGCAGCTTCGAGGAAACAATTTTGGCTTCTTTTCTACTCTCCTTTTTCACTCGTCGTCTTGAGCTCAACCGCAATTTTTGCTCACATAGCTGCACAACAGATGTACCATGCTGGGAATTGCCGCGGTGGACGACAGCATCTCCGCTACATCCAGTAACTGATAATTCTCAGGTTCCGTGTGGTCGTGACGACACTGTGCAAAGCTCTGGCGCTTTCACTTGGTTGACTCATTTGACTCTGACTAGATCACGGCGTTGTCGTTGTTATTCCGCCCGGCATGCTGAGCATGTGGTGTAGAGGTTGATAAGAGAGCCGTCTCACACTCCGGAACTCGGAGCTCCTGGATATACACCATGCTTAGTTTCTCCGCTAACCACGTTTGAGGAGCGGAGATCATCGCCATGATAAAGGGTGCCGAGCAGATGGCGTGCTCTTTTGTCCGCTTGTACAACGCGACAACCCTTCACTGTGTGCTGCAACATACAGTACCTGTTCTGGCAGGCGCGCAGTATTCCGCGATGGCACAGGGATCGCGTTATCGAACTCCTATCATGAGGGGTTGTCTCAGCACCGGAACCATCCAACCGTGAGACTGATATAGAGGTAAGACAGAGTCGCAGTGTGACTTGTCTCTTTTTGTCTGATTTATACGTGCTCGCTTTGTTGCTCTCACCAGAACAGGGACATAATAACTAGCAAACATGGCTCCAACAGCAGTCGAAACCCCAAGCATCCCAGCTGGCAGCATTCCCTCCAAAGCCTCCAAACCAGTCAACAAAGCAATCTTCCCGGACGGCTTCAGAACGACAGGTAAGCAGCATTCACAACTTCAACAGCCCATTACCTAACCAAACCCAGGCCAACAACCTCCCCTCTACGACAAAGTCTACCCCTACTCCGCCTTCCCCAAACACATCTCCGGCCCCACAAAATGGGAGCCCCAGGACTACGCCAACAACCCCGAACGATGGGTCCACCCATTCTCCCAAGCTGAGATCGAAGAACTCTCCCGAGCAGCAGACAAGGTCATGAACGAGAACATCCCTCTGACTGGTATCACCAAGGACCTCTTTGAGCTCCCTACCCTAGGCCCACAACTAGTCACCATGCGCAAAGAGTTACTAGACGGTAAAGGCTTCATCCTCTACAAGAACTTCGCCGTCAAGGAATGGGGTAACCACAAGTCCGCAATCGCATATCTAGGTCTAGGCTCCCACATCGGCTACCCAGTCAGTCAGAACGGCCGCGGCCACATCCTCGGGCATGTCAAGGATCTCGGTGAGGACAGTACACAAATCGACAAGGTCCGAATCTACCGTACCAACGCGCGCCAGTTCTTCCACGCGGATGACTGCGATGTCGTCGGGTTACTGTGCGTCGCACGGGCAGAGGAAGGCGGAGAGTCAGATCTGGCGAGTATCCATCACGTTTGGAACGTCCTCCAAGCAGAAAGACCCGACGTGGCTGAACTTTTCACAAAGCCAATATGGTACGTTGACCGGAAGGGCGAGGTAAGTGAGGGCGAAGAGGAGTACATCCGTGCTGCGATCTTCTATCTCGAGACGCCGGACCCTGCAGACCCGAACCGGGAGCAGAGGGTCTACTGCAAGTGGGATCCGTACTATGTACGCTCTTTGAGTCGGTTCTCTGACAAGGGTATCATTCCACCCCTGAGTCCGGAGCAGGAAGATGCAATGAAGACGCTTGAAGATGTCTGCAATAGAGTGAAGCTACACATGATCCTTGAGGTTGGAGATATCCAATTCGTGTCAAACAGTCATACGCTGCACGCAAGGACAGCATACAGGGACTATGCGCCTGATAGTGGTATGCCAAGGAGACACCTCATGCGATTATGGTTGAGTACGCCGCAGAGCGAGGGTGGTTGGCGACTACCGTTCTGGGACGCGGATGAGAAGAAGAGAGCTGGTATTCAAGTCAACGATACGCCGCCTGTTGCGAGGTTGGATGCAGATTAGGTACCGCATCATAGACATGAATATGACAGAATGCCAGTGCGACTCTACATTTGGTCGCTCTCGAGATGACATTGACGTTTTCCCTAGTGCCTTGTTCTATTCCGTTTCAAGTTGCATGAAGCGCTGAGCCGCTGATCGACACTGGCTACATATGTTAGGCTGACACCAAGACGACCGATCTCCGGCCAACGCATGTGCATCTACATGTATTGCAGTTCTCTTTTTGGTCTAATCTTCATGTTCAGAAACAGAGACCTACTTACTGTTTATCAACATAGTACTGCAGCCATGCTGTGGCTAAGAACAATCCTACTCACCCTCGGAGCCTTCGCGATGCTTCACACCCCAACGAGGAACTACATAAACGAACGTCCCTTCCTCTCCACGACTTTAGGCCAGACTCTTGGAAGTAAGTACTAGGAAGCACACGTTCACTCCTCCAGCATCCTCCAGAAACGATGTCCTCACCATATCGCTGAAAGAAAGTCGACTGACCACCCAACGCAGTGTTACTCATAAACGCCAACATTCCATCTACGCAGCCGGTGGCAGTCTGCCAGGTCAGCCAGCAGCATCTGAATGCTCAGAAGGCGCTGCTCGAAGAAATGCGAGAACTGCGTGACATGCTGAAAGGAGAACGAGAAGCTGGCACCGGTGCGTGACGCCCTGGCTTGGTTAGGCGCAGCCGGTAACGGCGAAATGGAAGGTGACGGCACAAGGGAAAGGGAATCTTGACAGATGAAGCTTCGCTTTCTCGAGCACGTGGGCCTGAAGGACGATGTAGTCACTCGTGTGAATAGCTGTTGCGTTGCTTGGAGTGGGGCTATAAGAGGGTATGGCGCATATGTTCGCGCTTGCGACTTCTGTCATTGCTTTTGAACACGCGATGCTTGGGACTTGTCTTCTGCCACACTCGTCTCTGTGTGCGAAGCGACGCTTCTGTCTTGATGCTACGAAATTCGTTGTCCGCAAAAGTAATGCATGTCGGTGTCCGAGCGTCAACTTTCATCTGGCCTGTTGATTAGTGAAGCTTTTGGTTCATAGCTGAGAGGTTGATGTGCGAGAAGGGCTGCAACCTTGGATCGCGAGGCTGTCTTTGATCATTCGACGTATTGTCCGTCCTTTGCGATTCTTGAAAGTACGTCGTATGTCCCTAGTAAGTACTCCTTACATGAGCAAAGTCCGCGATCTCCTGCCTCGTTTGTGTCCCGGGCCACCGTTCTTTCGCCGGGGTAGCGTCATCCGATGAACGTGCTGATCGATACGTCCTTGTGTCGCCATCTCGTGGATTGGATCTTCTTGTCGCTGGGTAGTAGGTAGTTCAACGTCCGATTCTTGGGCCGTTAAAAGACCAGCTTCGATCTTCTAGCCGCCACAAACACGACTCCCACGCTGGTGCTCGCGGCAAGTTAATACCACCAGATGGCTGCAGTCTCTAGGAGCGAGCCTCGTTCAAGATCCAAAAAAGGTTCAGTCCGCTTAACCAAGTGAAGGAAAATGAATCGTATGTGAAAGCTCCTGTCGTCACTCCTTCCACTACCGTCTCTTGCAATCACTCCTTCCACCACCGCCTCCTCCCGTCACTCCCTTCCACCAACTCCCTCCCACTCCAACCTCAAATTCCCATCCCATCCTCCAACTTCTCTAAAGCGCCACACCCATTCGAACCCAACAAGTCAATTCGAACCGACAACCTAAACCAAACTTGCCGCCGCCACCGAGACGCAGGTCATCGACCCCGCCACTAGAACTCCAAGGCGTATATGGAGTCTATCGTATTGGCCTCAGTTGGGAGTATACCACCGTGACTTGCTCAAGGTCATGGGAACTCTGATTGTCGTGGTGTGACGCTTTGGTGAACGAAATTCGATATTATGCGATATGTATGTTCGTTGGTGTGTCACTGCAGTAAGAGGGGAGTGCTAAATGCGACTGCTGAGAGTGTCAGATGTTCGACTTCCTGCCTTGAAGCCCGAGAATGGAAGAAAAGCATGCCTGAATAAGGTAGCCGAAGTGAGAATCATATCATTGCAGCTGTTGTCTAGCTTTTCCTTCCCGATCTATACAGTTATCTAGCCCTGAATGCACCCGCAGAACCAGACCTCCTTCTAGCAGTATCCTCCTGCGCGTCACCCATCAGAGGCTCACTCGCCGGCTCCTCCACATACCGCTCACCACCAATAGCAGCCCCATTCGGCTGATCCTCCTTCCTAATCAACTTCTCCCTCGCATCGCTCCTCATCTTCGTAATCTTCATATAATTGTAACAAGCAATACTCACAATCGTAACCAACAACCCCGACACATTAATAATACTCAGCTCATCGTGGAACACTATTCCAGCCGCCGAAATCGTCACCACCTCTTTGAAAATCCCACAAATTGAAAGTGTAACCACATTCGTCCGCTGCAACAACGTGAACTCACTAGCAATCATGCAGAAAGCTAGTACACCAGGTACAAACATGAGTACTACCGCTTTCGCAACTCCGAGATTATGCGCAAGCAGCTGTAACCCCACAAGCACTGCGCTTGGTCCCTCGCTGAACAGCGCGATGACGAATAAGGTGACGAACATGATTGGCGCCAGGAAGAACATGGTGGCGAACGGGTTGCTGGTCGCTGGATGCCGCAGTAACAGAATCTGCGTGAGCGCCCATCGGAAGCCGGAGAAGAAACTCGCGCTGATGGCCAGAAGGAAACCTGAAAGATGGAAGTCCGTCTCGCCGAAGACCATCATCACAACGCCCAGCGTCATGCAGAGGATGATCAGCGTGAGTTTGATGGTTGGCGACTCGAGGCGGAAGAGAAAGGCGAATATTAGGACAAAGATGAGGACTGAGGATTTACACATCGTATAGAAGGTTAATGTTA